ATTTTTTCACTTACACCCCCTTGGCCCATTGTGTGTTATTTTTATCATTTTTGATTTTTTCTTTTTGTTTCTGACTTATTATTTTTTGTCAAAACATAAAAAATATTAAAAATATTTTTTCACCCATTTTTGCATTTTATTTTGAATTTATTTGCTTTATTTATACTTATACATATAAAATAACATATATACTTTTATTTAAAAATACAAAAAAATAATACAAATACATTTTATTTTCTGATTTTATTTTGTTTTATCTTTTGAAAACATTTCCTTAAAATATACCTTTTTTTATATAAATAATAAATATTTTATTTTTTGTATATATTTAATATGTTTAATATATAATATAAATACTTATATATTTATTAGAATATTTAGGATAAAAATACAAAATAATACATTTTTCATTTTTATTAATATTTGACCTCAAAAATTACTTTTTATAATATACTTCTTTATTTATTTATTTTTTGTATATAATTAATAAATATTGTATATGGTATAAATAATAAATACTATTTATTTACAAAATTAGGGTTTTGCCCTAAACCATGAAAATATCCAAAAATTAACCTTTTTTTTATTTTTATTTCACTTGTAAATATTCACATACACTTACACAAATACATTGATACATACACATTTGCTTTATTCTTATACATTACTATACATTATATTTTACATTTGAGATCGCAATTCGATTTGGTTGTAAATTATTTGGACACTACTCTCCTATTAAAGTCTCATCCCCATTTGAACATTTGTACCCCCATCCCCATGATTATTTTGTAATAATTTAGAACTTTAAATTCCGCATTTTAAAGCTTTCTAAATATGCCATGATAGACTTAGGGTTTGTATGCAAATAAAAAATGACAAATAGCTTGACCTAATTCAAAGACAAAAAAGCATGAAAATGGACAACACCAATCACACTTGCACCCCTAGGGTTACTCCACTTGTTGCCTTTAATAATAGGCCATGTTGCATGTTGGGTGTCTTTGGCAAAACAAAACAATTCAAATGATCATAGTCCCTCGATGACGCTTTCGAAAGTTGCCTAAAAATGATCAAGTCCCTTAAAGGAAAAATTGCCAAAGACACTTGGCACTATTGCATTCATGGTCTAAACGATGACCCGCGCCCGTCCCGTTAACATCCTAACACAAGATTGTCCACCAAATACAATGGTGGAACAATACTGTTAAAAGGGTTAAAACATAGGGAAGATCTTTGAGAAATTTAGGGTAGATAGCTCTTGGTTACTTGACCAATCTTGCAAAACAATCCTTGCCATTTTTCAAACACATCACAACACACTTTCAAAACAACTTTCAAAAACATTGAAAACTTTTCAAAAGACAAGTACACCTTTGTATACATTCAAACATGGATCATTACAAAGGTTGCCATCACAATGGCCTCTTTTCAAAACATTTTTCAAACCCACACACAAAGCACCATTTCAAACAATTGAAAATGCAAGGCAAGTGATCTAAGCAAGTAACTAAGAGCCCATGGATAACCATGGATAGAAAGGGTGCTAATACCTTCCCTTTATATAATCTACCCCCCGAACCCAAGAAAACATCTCAAAGGTTTTTGCTGTGCTTTTTAACCTTTCCTTAGGATAAAATAAAAAGTCGGTGGCGACTCTTGCTCAACCGAAACATTTGCGAAAACAAAAGCAAAACCCAAGTCAGTTCTCCCACCATATCACACCCACGATAAATTGGACACATGGGCCAAAAATAGAGCAAATGAAGCCAAGCTGGAAAATGCTTCGACGAATGAAAAAACTTAGAGAAATATCTGAGTTACAAATTGGTCTTCGACCAGGCATCGCCATCAAGCCTTCGATTGAAAAGGTCCTGTGACCTTCGACTAGAAGAATAACCCTCGTGTCAGCATCAAAGGTGAAGGATATTTGAATTTGAAGAAGGGAGGGAAATGCAGTTCGCCTAGCAGTTAAGGGAAAGCGACGTGGCAGGAAGATAGAGGTCGAGGAGCATGCAGAAGACACTTGTCTTCATCCTAGAGCAAGGCAACCCCTCGACAGTTACATGATTTTAGTATAAAGATAGGAAGTTTGTGTAGATTTTCCGTGTGTTCAACCTTTTATACTAGTCACTCAACATTATTCAAGTACCCGATGTGTGTGAAAGAATAATTGAGAATGTACGTTAGAAACACCACCTTTTATTAATCAAATCTTTTATATTGCTTTGATCTTCTTTTTGCAAAGTTTACATTTCCTGCATTTTATCTTCATTTCTATTTGCTTTCCAAAACCATAAACACCAACTTCCTGGTCGAACGTGTATTCTTCCTAGATATTAACTTTTACATCAAACCAGCACAAAAATTAGCATATGTTCTGGGATCAATCTGATCGATCCCGTGAGTAACCAAAAGGGCTTTCCTTTTTGGAGGATCAACGATTGTTTACCAAAAACCACGGTAAACACCAACGAAGGCATCTTGTTACCCCCGAGTTATTGCATCTTCGCTGCAATAAGGTTTATGGGAACTTCGGAACTGCGCCTTTGTCGGTGAAGTCCATTCATATCCTCACTGGGATACATGGTGACAGAGGTTATGAATCTCCGATAACCTCTTACCTAGCGCGCCAAGGTCGACGATATCTTTATCGGAGGTTATAGAAACACCAAAGTCTAGATCTTCAGCGGGTACCCGACTTCGTCACAATAGTATTTATCCCAGTTGTCGGTGTAGTTCCTCCAATACACTAATTCAGGCATATGTTAGAAGTAACGACGTCAGATGCCAAGGTCAATCAGGGTTCGATTCTCGAAATGCTCAGTGACTTGAGATAGATCCCAATTCATCAACTAGTGAGACACATATGGAAATCATGTAATTCATGATGAATATGAGTTCCTCTCCTCGATCTATTATCTTACCAACACCTCCACAGATTTCTTCATTAGATCCGAATAGATAGCCATGTGGCCTCCAAAGATCACCAAGAAACATATTTACTAAATTGGAAGATGAACCTCACAATACCGTCATTGTGAGTAAATTAGTATTGTAATGAGATTAGTGTGGCTAGGTTATTTTTATCGGGCCTCCACGGTGGACGCCAAATGTTCTTGTTAAAAACATCATTTGAGTAACCTTCCTGATGCTGGTCAGGAAGGGTCGCAATGGGTAGATTTCTGTAGAATTTAGGAGGATTTGGGTCTTACGAAGATGGCTCGTATTGACCCAAGAGAAGTGTTTGGCCTATCCCTCTTGCAGAAGCCCCTCTATATATGGTGTATTGAATGTCAGATCGGATCCCTTTTCCATTTTCCAAGGACTCCTTATATAGGCAAGTCCTTGGTCTAATGACCATTAATCCACTTTCGTAACGTTTGTAACCGTCCATAAATACTGTAACATTTGTAACCACCCATAATTACTTGTAACATTTGTAACCGCCATCTATCGAGTTCCGTAACTGCAACCAACTCGGTTAAGCACAACCTGGCCAGACATATCCCAGCCATACACATTTAGGCCAATCACAACTCGACCAAGTCTTTAACCCGACCAAGTCTTCAACCCAACCAAGTCTACAACCCGACCAGGTCTTCAACCCGACTAACACAGCTAGGCCAGGCACAACTCGACCAAGCACAACTAGGTCAACATAACCCGACCAACACAGCTAGGCCAACACAAATAGGCCAGAACAACTAGGCCAGGCAGCTAGGCCACTGGCATACGACTAGGCTATAGTTAGTCAGTCTATATTACCTTAGCATTGATCGACATATCCGATTGTACTCAGCCCGCACAATTATGTGGTATATAACATCCTATATACAATTTGTTTATATTAGCTCCAAAATGACCCATCTCTTTCGAAACGACGAGACCTTCAGGAGAAAACCATAGAGAATCACTCGTGATCACGTGTCTAAGAAAGGGAGTATGTTAATCAATTTTTCCCCAAAAAAACCATGTGTTCGAATATTTCTTACAACATCCCTCACAAATGAAACATTTAAAAGAAATCACATTGCAAATCAAGCGATCTTACCCACCTAGCATAGTAAGTTCAGAGAATAAAGTCTTATTCCCATAAATCAAAAACCCTAGTTTTATATTTGGAGAAACATGAACACCCAATATTTTAGAGGAATCACAATTTCTTATAAATGAGTAAAATAGAACGCCACAAATAAGAAATCAAGTTCATATTTAAAGAATCCACAAGAAACTCGTCAGAAGAAAGAAGTCACAATAAGTAACGAAGATTTTGATATGGAGTAATATAGAGAGACTTCGAATACAAGACTGTCAATATTTAACCATATTTAACAAGACTGTCAATACAAGACAACTCAACGTGAAAGTTCTTCAAATACAAGACTGTCAATATTTAACCATATTTTGTTTGAGACAAATTTTCTTGTTGAAAAGAATGATTCACATTAACACTGGTAACAATTCCACATCTCTCAAATATGAATGGAGCGTTAAAATATTAATCTTTATTTGACAATAATCATTGCACTACAGAGATCATCTTCAATTTTTCAACACAAAATAAATTTTTTTCTCGTTTTTTTGACATTGATCATCATTTGAATTTAGATGGACCACAGTAATAATTCAATTGATATTACTTTGTCTGATTTATTTGTGTAAAAACAATAAATACGCTATGTTTACATAGGTGTGAATGAATATTTAGAAACAAGCCATAGGATAATAGAAAACTATAGTTGGGCAGCTTTACAAATTGAAAAAGAGATGGGTAGGTGAAGAAATCGGATAGTGTAGGTAGCAAATCATCCCATAATGTAAGGAGCCCAACCTAAGCCCAAACGGACCAACAACACTACCGAGCGACCCACCGTTACTACCGTGCACCCCAGCAGAGACAGCAAAACCTCGAAGAACACGATACAGTCAAAATGAACGAAGAACACTCCATACCAATTTGAGTAATTGACCCCATACCAATTTTCCAAGTGCCACAAATGGATGTTACCGAATCACAAACGGATCCAGTTTCTCTCGAAACCCGACCCGGAATCTTCATCATCGGATCCTCCACCGTCGGCAAACGCACCCTCCTTTCCCGTAACCGCCTCTTTCAGTTTTCCTCCGTTCATTTTACTCGCACCTTTCAATTTTTATAGGATTGTTTATTTAGGTAGTGAAATTTCGTTGACGTTTTGTTTTGTTGATGCTGAGTATAGGATTGATATCTGTTGATTCTGAAGATGCATTTGATTCGGCTTCTGAAGTAAATGTTCATGGGTATGTTTTTTTATTTTTTTATTTTTTTTATTTTTATGAATGATTTAATTTAAATGATTGTTTTAGGTTATGTTTTTGAGTTTTTGTTGCTGTGTAATTTGATTATGGAATTATCAATAGGTGGACTATTAACAATAAATATTATACTGCCGATGTTGCTGTTTGGATGGCTCATCTTCATGACGGGTTTTCTGTCGAGAATGTTTCCGGGTTTGATCAAATGACGGCTTTGGTGATGGTCTTTGACATGAATGATGTTAGTTTCTAAACTTTTGTTTTTATCGTCGCCAATTTGTACTGTTTTTTCTGCGTGTTGTTGATTGTATAGTCCTTGAGGAATGTCTTATGGTCGGTGCTATTGTTTAGATTTGATATTCTTGTGCCCAAGAATGGTAGAATTGTTATTTGAATGACTCCATCTCTTTCAAAATTAGTATTGTTTAAAGTTTTTTCATACGGATTAAGAAAAAATACTTAATGAATGAATAAGTATAACAATTTTATGAAATTTTCCTCCTTAACTATTGACTATTAACCGTTGTCGTAAATACATAGTTGGATATAATTACTTGAAAGCGATTATAATTACTTGAAAGCGATGCTCACAACATTAATTTAGGGGTTAAACCAGAGTAGTCAATCCTGGATAGCGGGATAGCCGCTATTTGATCATTTTTTGGATGAATTACATGAATAGTAATTATAAGCATATGAAGTGAGAGAGGTGAGGGACGAACTTGTGTTTTTTCTTTGGAATGGCTAAAGCGCAGAAATGTTGGTGAAGGAAGGTTAGGGTTGAGTCTCGACTCAATTTTCATTCAAAAACCCAAAATTACTCTTAAAATGTTTTAAATTTAAAGGGGTAATTTTGGTTTTTCAGAAGGGAAAAGAATAGCGGGACAAAAATAGCTCTGCCCCCACTACCCGCCATTTACCCTATAGTGGCCGCTATAGTGTTCTGCACTGCTAAGGCTCTTTCCATAGCAGCCAGCCTCCACTCCGCTCCGTTATAGCGGGATAGCGCCGCTATTGACTACTCTGGGTAAAACTAGGATACATTAATTAATGTTACATTAGAAATATATAATGACACTTATTTTGAAAAAAAAATTATTTGCTTAAACAGCGTATATTTGGAACAGAATGAGTACTTTTTGTTTTACTTGTGGGTTGAGTATTCATAAGGCAGTAAAATGTGTATGTAATGTATAGTTATTTTTCTCATTATGTGCAGTTATCTTCGCTAACTGCACTTCAAGGTTGGGTCTCACACACTGATATTCAAAACTTTGAGATATTACTATGTATTGGAAACAAAGTAGATCTGGTTCCAGATCATCCGGTTCATGTTGAATACAGAAGACGGATGCTGAAACTCGAAGACTCTTCTGCGAATGAATTCTCCGAGTATGGAATATCTGAATCTGAAGGAACTAGTTTATTGGGGAGTGAAGAACCATCCTGGGACATTAGAAAGTCATGTTTGGAATGGTGTGCTGAGCAGAACATTGAGTTCATCGAGGCTTGTGCTTCTAATGCCGATTTTGACAAATGTAAAACTTTGCATCCTTTTATATTCATCTGGTTTATAACATACTACACAGTACACATAACTCAGACTCTTTCCGTTTTATATTGATCTGGTGCAATTTTGTTACATGTATAATCTTATATCTTGACAAAAAGAAATGTTGTTTACAGGTTTGTCTGTAGACGGTGATTTACAAGGAGTTGAGCGCCTCTATGGGGCACTTTCCGCGCATATGTGGCCTGGGATGGTACTGAAATCTGGTGAAAGGATAAGCCAACCATCATTTCCAGAGATAGAAGGTCGGTCTCTATTTATTTTTATTCTTTGCAGCATGCTCCTAGTAATTTAAAATAAATGTGTACTAATTTTGGGTTATCCTTTTTCTGTTCGTCAGAGATATCTTCGGAAGAATCTGACTATGAACAAGAGTATGAAATTTTATCCGATGGTTTAGAGGATGCTTGGGACGGAACTGAACAAGGATGGGTTTCTGCAACTTCCTTAGAAGCAGGGGGATCATCAGTTCCTCAAAACAATCCCAACATAGCTTGTGAAAATGACGATCGAAATAAATCTGATAAAGAGCTCCAGCCCACGACTTCAAGTACTGAATTTCAGAACCAGGGTGACACGGCTGTTGTTCACAGTACGGTAAATTCTGAAAGAGACGGGAAATTAGACCAAAGTGAATGTCTTGAATTAGAGGATTTGGAACAGTTGATGTCTGAAATTGGAAATATGCGCACAGGATTAAGATTGATGCCTGATTTTCAAAGAAGGGAAATGGCCGCAAAGCTTGCTATGAAAATGGCTTCCTTATTTGGAGGAGATAGTGATGAAGGCGAAGTTTAGATTCGGTTTAAATTGTAAGGATCCATAGTGAATGTACTCTTAGTATCTTTATACGAGTCATCGTGTCGAGAAGATGAGCAGCCTCTGTTACCTAAGGATGATGCTGAACCTGATCCAAGTTCAGTTACTCCTGTTTTGTCATGCACTGTTCAATAGCACTATTTTGTGAGCATAACTTTATAAGTTTAAAATTAAAAATGTGATATGTTTAGACAGGTTCATGGTACTGAACTTAGTGGTAGTGGTGTGTGAAAAATTGGAGGCTATGACATGTGTACATGTGGCAATTTGTTATTGTTGAAATTGATAGAAAAGTGTACTTAAATACAAAGTGTTTTAACTACGTGGAGAAAATGACAAATAGTCACACTTTGTGATTAGTTTTTAGGAATAACATGGCTTTAGGTATCTTCGCACTTTTTTTACGGAAAGTATATTTACTTATAGCCCTTCAATTACTATGAAGTTATTATAGAATAAAGACATCAAAGTATATTTGACCATGAGTTTTTTACTTTTTTAGACAACAATGTGATCCCAATTACAGAGTTCCAGTAGAATAGAAGTAAAATTTATCTTGATCCATCACTTTAGAGTTTAGTGATTTTCATGTGAATTTGGCCAATTCATGTGTTAGATATTTACAAACAAGTTGTTGCGTATAAAGAAAGATAGGTGTGAATGTGAAACGTAAGTGTTGATATTATAAAGAGTAATAGTCAAGTTTGGATGCTTATAAAGGATAAGGATTATGTAAGATAGTCTAAAATTTGACCCACCTTTCCTTATAGATTCACACAAACACACACAAAACATAGTAATAATGATGGAATAAGTTGCTTGCGGTTTTGTCATGTTTTGGTTAGTCAAGGACTTGAAAAAGGCATATGATAAGTTGAGAAAAGTAGGCAAAGTAACCATTTATTAATGAGCCCCCAACTCAAGTTAGTTGAAAAGTGAAAGCAAAGGAACGCATTCAAGCGTATCTGATTGTCCGATCAAAATCAAACAAATCAAACAAATAATTTTGAGATGATTTAAAATGTTTTGTAAATCGTATGATTAAGATCAAGCAGTCAATATCATCTTGATAGCGTGAATAAGTGAAAATTTCAACCACAAGGGATTCAAATGGAAAGACAAACCAAGTTGGTTGAAAAGTGAAAAAATATTTGAATTAAATGATACTATCTCGTTTAATTTAGCCATATATTCTGAGTTCGAGAGTATTAATTTGGAAAACGCATAAATGTAAAAAAAAATTATAGTTACCATGATTCTTCCAAATTCTATGGATAAATTTGTACAAAAGCATGGACCAACATGGACCAAGGTGGGAGATATAAATGCATGCCACATGCCATCTTTGGTAATCATGGTGCTTTCTAATAATGTCTATAAGATCTTAAGAAAATATCATTTATTGCTTTTTCGAGTCTCAACTTTCAACTTTGTTAGTGAGTTGTGTTTATTAACACTAAAAGCTATATCATGAGAGAAGAACAAAAGAAAACCTAGTAAGATAAATGGTGGGTAGGACCACATAACATTATCTTATTACATAAAACAAAGGCTAAGAGTAGAAGATGCCATAAATAATCACTTTTCTATTTAATAATAAGCATCAATGGCATGGGAACTCTTATAGTCCTCCCATTGAGAAAGATTAAAGTAGATGGGAAATGAGAATTAGGATAGATGCAAAAAAGGGACCATCTAGTTAAATAGCATCTACACTTTTATTGTTATTATTATTTTCAATTACCAAACTATATAATAAACATTTTCACAAACTTTATGTCCTTCATTTGTCATATCTTAGCTTTAAACTTTATTTTGTTTTGTTTTGGCTCCTTCTTTTGGGTATTTTCCTTTTGCTAATGAAGATGTAAAGAGATGATTCACATAGAGTGGAAATTAAGCTTGTTGCATAAGGTTGTTTGATAAAAACTAATAGTGGTGGTTTATAACATTCAGCACTAACAAATGCACCTTATTCTTTCATGTGATTCCATTTGACTAGAATGATTAAAATGTTATTCTCACTTATTTTAGTACAAATATTTAGTACTTGTTGGAACATAGGAGAAATGTTAAAAATACTCTCTTTTTTCTTTTTCTTTCACTTTCACTTTTTACACTTCACTCAATATTCATTATTTGAATCCATGTGCTACTATTTTCCTCATTAATTGATTTTCAACAAAATAAAAATAGTAGATACACATGATAAATTTGAAACCAACTTGCATGTTACATGTATATAAATGCAAATTGTGATAGTTATTAGGATTGTTTGTCTTATTATGGTTGATAATTAAGTTAATTAGACGTTGATTGCTTTAATGTCTACCACTATGTAACATAAATATCTCTTTTCAAATTTTTAGAAGCATAATATCTCATTTATTAAAAGGTAAAAGCATTATTTTTTAGATATTTTATAAAAATAAAATTGTCTCAAAATATCTTCTCATGCTACAAGATAATGAGACTAACTACCAAAATTTGCAACTAGGACAAATATCTCTCCCAATATTTGCTTTTATCCCAACCGCAATGTGCACCTTTCTACTCGTCTAACACATGTTGGCTTTTAAAACTTTTGCTTTACTATTAAAGTTGATTTAAAATATCAAATTGTATTTTCAACTCATTATTTTTCAAATGTATTTTTTTTTTTTCACAATGCAATACTCTCGTAATAGCTACACTATTTTTTTTTTATGAAGTGATAACTACAAGGTAATTGTAAAAAGACTAGTATTTTTAATCATACCGGCTCATGGACATTAATATTTAATCTTAAATAATTTTGGGAAATTTTACCCAAAACCCCTATATTTATCTTTATACTTTTATATTTTATAAAAAAATCAATTTTATTCTTGTATGTTTTTAATTAATTAATTATTTTATTTTTTATTATTAATTTAAGATTTTAAAAAAATTGCATACTATCAAAATTATAACACTCTAATTTCCCCACGCGTAATATAACAAAATAATTCAATAATATATCATATTTTTATATTAGAATATGACACATCAAATCAAAATCTATTATGTAACATTTATAATTTAAAATAAAACATTTGACACTTGTCATCTCATGGTCTCTTTCACTTAGAGTATCATCGTAGCGGAATTTATCAAATAAGCATGTTTCACAAATTATATAAGTCTCATAAAAATATTTTATTAAAATTAAAACAATACGGTAAAAGTCTCTGCAAATCAATGTAGGTATAAAAACGTCGAGAGTATAATATTCAACTCTCTAATTAACGTAAAACGGAAATAAAGAGCATCATTCGCCCCACCTAGTGTTACAGATCAGAACAACATAATTCTAAGAACGCAAAACAAAAAAGAGAAGAAATACCTCAACGCCATCCTCCAGCTCTAAGCACCTACTCGATTACATGTTTATTTGTACTCCGAAGAGGAGCACATGCCACAACAATAACAGAGGAATGAAAATTTACATAAAAACATTAAACATAAAAACGGCAAGGTAGAACATATACAACTATACATATTTCACAACAATTACACAAACACATTCTCACACTCAACTCAACATCATACATAATTACGATTAAGCATACAACTCATTATATAATGTGACTCAACTATGCAACTCAATGCATATGCATGTGATACCAACTCAACAAATGGTTCCTCGTTTGAACTGAGCCCCGCAATGAACCTCGAGTCGTACACCAAACTCCAAGCCCCAACACCGAGCTTGGGACAAGTCACAAATCTCGCATCGAACCTGTGAGCTCGCCTCTTTCAAAACAATAATGACATATGATGTATGTCATACAATGTCAATGAAACCCAACAACAACTACAACATTTAAAGTTCACACCGATTGTAAACAACATGCATTGACAACAACATAATAATCTCGCACCAAATTATTATTCAATAACCACCAACAATCAACAACAATGACATAATTATGCTTATGTAGCAACAAGTATTCAATAGTACACATAACAATTCATCACAACATCATCAACACATTCATACATATTTACCATTCGTCAAATAATTTATAAAATCGATTAAAAATTATTTTTATTCATCGATTCACATCAAAATAGAATCAAGCACTACCCAACAGTAGCCAGCAGTCCATAAAAGTCGAAATAATTGAAAACTGCAATTTAAGACAAGTAAACAAAAAATTTATGCAAGTTACAGGTGCATGACGGGTTACCCGTCATGGGCATGGCGCCTGCCACTGACATCAAAACACAAACCTGTCACCTACGTGACGACCGACTCTAAAATTGAGTCTGAGCTACATGACGGGTTACCCATCATAGCCATGGCGTCGCCATAGACCTTGAGATTGTCAAAAGAATATGATTTTGATGATGGAGACTTGTGGAGTCTCCCAAAATCAATTCCAATCACCCAAAACAAATTTAAAACCATACATACATGTCATATATTCATATATGTCATCTAATTGCATCAATTCAACACTTTTAATTCATTGTCTCATGAAACTATATTATTTTCTAAACCTTTAAAACTCCATCAATTGTCATAAACACATCACATCAACATAAAAATAGAATTATCACACGTGAATGTATACAAATTTCACACACAAAAAATTAATCACTAATAACACGATTATAATAACAAAATAAAAAATTCATTGAACACCTGATTTCCCTATTAGAGGTTAAGGGCTTCTCAAGTTTACCCCTCATGCATATACTCGTTTATTGAATATTTCTCCCCCTTATCTTATTATCCTAGCCGCAGTTGAATGATATTTATTCATAACAAACACTTTTGGATAGCCTCCCCGAAGTTAATCAGGCAAGACCACAACAGTTATGTATGTTCAAGGCTATTGGATTTCCCGTGTTAATGTGTATCTTTGTATCGTTGCCCCTCCCTCCATGGGAGGTTCTCCTTTTATACTTTGACCTTCAGCCTTGCATTTATGGAGCATTGGCTCTTCAGGTAC